GCAACCATGTGTAAAAAAAAAAAAAAAAAAAAAAAAAAAAAAAAAAAAAAACAAAACAAAAAAACTCAGTCTGGACTAAAATAGGAAGGAAGCAAGCATTTAGTAGTTAGATGATGGATTTATTCAAAATGTATTTGCAAAGCACCTGTGCATGCTAGTCAGCACACAGAGGCTATACGATTAAGAGCAAGAACAGGGGAATACGAGTGGAAAAATCTATCTGTCAAAGGACATCATGGAAATCAGCATGCACTGTGGGACTTCTCTTTAAAGATGAATGTTCTTTTGTCTATACCACATTTCTTTATCCATTCATGCATTGATAGATGTTCAGGTTTTGCTCCCATCTCTTGACTATTGTGAATATTCTTGCAATAGATGTGCAAATGCTAATTCTTTTTGACCTCTTAAATTCTTTTAGATAATATTCAGAACTGCCATGACTGAACTGTATACAAGTAGATTTTTTTGAGGAAAAAATAAAGCATTTATTTATTTACTATTACCCATACATCACTCTTTTTTGCAAAGATAGTTGGCCCTCACCGTTCACTATCATGAAATGAAACCAGCCTACAATCAATCTATCAGGAAGGTGTTTTGTGACACTATTCTTGGGAAGCTGTGAACAAATGCCTAATCAGCCCATATAGGGGAGCAACAGTAACAACAGATCAAAGTAATGGTATCACCAAAGTTTAACTTGGTGGACCAATTAATTTTTATTTGGGTTATTTATAGGAGCAGAAAGGGTTAAACATAGCCAGATCACCAAAAGTCCATCTCTACAAGATTGACAGCTCATGAACACTGGAAGCCTGGAGCCCACTACACAAAGCAGCTCAACATTTGGAGAGATCCACTCCAGAGCCTCTAGGCTGCTCAGCTGGTCTCCCCATCTCCCCAGTGACTCTACTTGTCTGAGAGTCTCTTAGCAGTTCTTAAGCTTATATCTGTTTGGGGAGGGAGGGACTAATGCTGGTCAGTTTCAGGAACTTCCTGAAACTGTTGAATTGCTTACTTCCTGAGCTTAATGAGCTTTCCTGCAGCATGGAATGTTTCATTAACCCTCAAAACATCCTGTTACCTCCCTTTACACATTCTGTTGTTGACCTAGCTCCCTTCAAGATGGAAAATTTTATCTTAGAGGCAATCACTATACAGCAGAGGGTCTCTACCTGTCAGGGGAAATGATTACCCTGATTCATCTTTAGAAGGCCTTTCTCTTCAGCTAAAGGAGAAATCTAAACAAGGACAAGACCACAGGAATGATCATGCTGAAAAATACTTATATGTATGTGGCCAGGCAGTGGGCCAATGCTAATCACAGCCTCCAGCACCTGCATACCATCAGCCGGGGGGCCGGGCCTTGGTGCTCAAAAACAAATTCACAGAAGGCCTGTCAGCACCTTGCAGTGTTCCTCAGGACAAGACTATCTAGGAACTTGCCTGAATGTTTCCCATGTGCCAGAGGCCCTCTTTTCAACATTTACAGTCTGAAACTACAGCACAACAGAATTCTTCAAAACCTGAGCTAAGAGGTAGTCTAAAACTGAATACCTTCCTGAGCTGAAAGGAGGGCTCCGTGGCGCTCAGAGACACACGTGAAGAGGGATGTACTAGTGAAACAGACTACCTTCAGGGTCCATGTATTAGATGCCAGGTCCCTCGGCTCAGGAGGCCCAGTGCTTGGGTCACTTTTCTGCTGTCAGCTTCTCAAAATTATTAACATTTTAACAAGGAGTCACATGGCTCCATTTTGTACTGTTCTCAGAGGCTATAGAGTCAGGCAAGAATACTTTCCATGCTGAATGGGAAATGGAGAGCCCAGTCTAGGACCCAGACTGCTGCACTTGACATGAGAAAGCCCCGGGGATGTGATGCAGGGAAAAGTCAAAGAAAGAATGTAACAATATTTTGTAAGGAAATTGGGTATTGCAGACGTTATCAAAAGCTGTCGTTTTATTTTCCTGAATTATTATGAAGTTTCAGACCCTAAAATACCCACTTCATTTCGCTGCCCTGTGGACATCCCTTATCTCTCTTCCTATTCTTAATCTTCATACCACTTAGAACCAAACAAAAATGTACTGCACAGTGTCAGACCCACAGTCTGCACCATTGTGTCTGGACTGATTGTGACTCACTCCTCATACCATGTGATGGCCCACTTCAAGTCTTCTGTCTGTCTTTCCCTTTACAACCTCAGCCCACTTTTGAGTTTCTTCTCAACCACAATTTGAAATTTACTTTGTGATACTTCTGTTGTTCATTCCTAGGAGTTTGTTGTTGTTGTTGTTCTGTTTTCCATCATCAGCACTTTGCCATTAGGACTGGTTACATGATTTGTAGGGACTAAGGCAAAATGAAAATGTGGGTCTCTTGTTCAAAAACTACTAAAGATTTAAAGGTAACAACAGCAAGAATATTGGGGCAAATGTGAGTTCATTCCAACTGTGAGGCCTGCACGAATGCACAGGTCAAAGGTCCCCAAAGCCTTGTTCTCTGGTCAAAATTGGGAACTATACCTATTCTTCAACCAATTATTGTTAAATAAGTTAACTAGCTAGGCCTATGATTAAAAAGTTTGTATGGAGCTGGAAATAAACTCATCTTAGTTGTGTGCTATTTTGTGAAGAGAATTAGTAAGTAAAACCAGAGTGAGTAGGTCTGAGGAGAGCATAGTTTCTGTATAGATCATGAGCCCTTCACTAGGACTTGATGCAAATGATGGTTCGTTAGGACCAAAGAGTGTGGTCCCTGGCCCATCTATTCTAGTCTACCTACTCTCAACTCCTAGGCTCCCACAAACCTCAAATCTCTTCTCCGATGATGAAGCTACCTTTGTGCATGAGCTCAGTGCTTCCCAAGAACATTGAATTGGAGGTATCAGTCTTTTTCTCCCCATCCCCACTGGATCATAAATTTCCTGAAGCCAGAAACTTTTCTACCCTTCCTCCTCTTCCTCCTCTTCTTCCTCTTCCTCCTCTTCCTCCTCCCCCCTACTCCCATGCTCCTCCTCCTCCTTCACCTCCTGTCCCATGCTTCTCCCCCTCCTCTGCCACCCCCCTAATGTTTGTGCCAGCTCACCAACATGTAAGGAATCCATACTCTGGAACACTTACTGTAGTGTTATACTCTGAAGACACACAGGAACAATTTTCTATTAACACGCTGTGTGTACATAATGGTAAATCATACTTGTAAAATGATGTAGCATGCATGAAGACTGAGCTATTTCGGTATTATCAGTGCCCTACAAGAGAACATTAGACCAAATGTGGATGAACAGGAGGAGAGTGTTGTCAGAGATCGCTGGAAGAGTCCTTCCCAGAAATATGGGGTGACATTCAGTGGACCCTCCTGATCTACCCTGAGTGGAAACAAAAGTCACACAATAACAAGGTTTCCTGCTAGAGCATACGAATAACTGCAAAATTCCTGCCTTGGCTTTTATCCCAGAAACCTTGCTCTTTAATATTTGAAGATTTATTTTTCTGTTCTGTGAAAATCTTTGAAATTCATAGCTTGTTCCACAGTCAAATGTAGTCAATAAATGTTTAATGGGTATCTATGGCCCACATTCGAGGCATATGGGAGATAAAGTGAAGGATTATTTTAAATTTATATATGACACAATTTGTAAATATCTACAGAATCAGAAGAATGATAATCTGACATCACTCACACCTTCATCCCCAACTTGCTACTGTGCAAGCAAAAACAGTAACTGAAAGCAATGGCCAAAGGTAACTTCTTCAGTGCTATTTACAACATGCTTATGTACGGAATTAGCAAAGCTCAGGATTCCCTTCAGCCTCCTCAGCTTCTGGCTTTGCCTTCTAGCTTTTTCCTCATGCTAAGCTTAGGTTAAAGAGTAATAAGAAGTGTTGGTGTCTGTGAAGGGCCGAATAATAAAGAAAACTGACCAACCCTATCTGGAGAAGTTGGAATTTTGGTAAAATTGCTCATAAGTATTTTTTCTCTTTGCCAAACTTAAAGCCAGGACATGACTGTCAAATCTCCACATCATTAGGAGAAGACTTAATCTTAGTCAAAATTGTATCACACAATGAAAATTTCTTAAATTTATTTTTGTTCTCGATCAATGGCTAGTGGTAGGAATGGAAGGAAAAAAACTAAGAACTTTGGAAATATGAGAAAAACGACTTTAGGTCTAGAGTCTCTGAATTATGGCCTCAGTCACATCAGTGACTCCCAAGATTGCCATAGATACAACACATGTAAATAAGGTGTATGTCCAAATTAAAATCATTATGTCTTTGTGCTCCAATTCTCAGTATAATTTCAACGAGTTTTACCCAATAAAAGGTTAAAAAGAAACTGTAAAGACATACTTTGAATCTCAATGATCTTCTGTAGCGCAGTAATGGCATTGGTATTCGGGGTTTGGTGGAGAACGTCTTCTGCCAGCGGTTCCAGCTGTAAGAACAGTGGAGGAGAACACAGGCAGAACGTTACACTTTATAGTGAGCATCACAGAAGCAAAGCAAGAGAAAACTCTCATCCTCAAGGGAAGCCTGTTCCAAGTACTCATTAACATTTTGTTAATAGCCAGTTTTATTTTATTTTTTCATCCACATAATTAAATTCCAAGGGGCTTTTCTATTGGTCCCAAGATAAATGAATGAAGTCCCTGAAGTAGGTGCATGTCTGTGAATTAGTCACTTAAAAGCTGAGTTATTTGTGTAATTTTCATAGGTTCCTCACAAACCAAATTCCATCATGTCTGTATATACAGCTTGGCCTGGCCAACAAACTCTCTGGGAAGTAGCGTTGGACAGAGTGGACAGTCTATTATCTATCTGCACTTCAGTAGTGTTTTTACATAGAACTACCTCAGACATCTGAACACTTCCTGGTATAAAGCTATGAGGCAGCTGCTCTGTTCTTGGAATAAAGAGGCAGCAAAAGAAGCCAGAGGTAAAAGAACAGCACAATTGCATTTAATATCTACCCTGTTCATAAGTACGCGATGTCAGCCTCAAGCACGGGGACAAATTCCTTTCAGGCAAATCTATCATGATCTTCTGGAATTACACTGATTTTTCATGGAGGAACTCTTCAGGCATTGTAAGAAACTCAGAGGAGCTTTCTGTAATTTATGGAGTGTGTTTGTCAGAATCCGGTCTGGTCATGTAGACCCACGACACATGGTGATGAGCTTAATTTAGAGCAAGATAGTTTCAGACAAAATAGACATCCAGCTTTTGTGACCCAGCCAACAAGCAAAACAATACTGGCAAAAAGATAAACTGAAAAAGCAATTTTCCTAGAAAATTTAAAGTTAAAAGTCTCAAGAAAAAAAAAAAATTGGTGGTTAAACACAGGGCCCAGAACAGAAACTGCTGTCGCCAGGTCTATCAGAACATGAACTCTTGGCTGTATCTCTTTATCTAGGGGAAAAACTAAAATTCAGGGATTACAAGTTTCCACAGCATATGTGAGTGAATCTTCCCCCAGGCTCTCTCTGGGTTGATTATTCCACACTTCAATCACGGAATCTAAAACAATAGCACCTTTCTTCCAGATGCCACCGGATCACAGACTAGCTCAGGGATATTTATACATGAGTAAACTCACTAAATATAACTTCGTAGAGTGTTTTTCTTAGCTGCCAAAGAAAAATCTTTAAAACATCAAAAAGTCTGTGTGCAATATAGTTTGGTAAGAGGAAAAAAAAATATCACCATACCTAACTCAGTGTCAACGAAAGGTTGTGAAATCTTAAACTCTTCAAATTGGTTAAAATCATCTCTAAAAAATCCAGTATTTCCGATCACATCTTTGCAAATATATTATCTTTGCAAAACCCTCTCAACTCTGAAGAACTACTGACTCATAAGCTGAAGGTTTTTTGGAAACTCTCCCTGAAGAATTAGACAGTGTTGAGTGAGCCACCTTGCTCAAAAATAAACTTTTCTTTCTTTCACTTTTTCTTGGAGCCTAGAGAAAAATAATTTTTAATAGCAATAAAATGTTTTGAAATGCCCCTCTACATTAGAACTCATATATGAAGCAAGTACATTCAGTTCTTTCGAAAACCTTCATTGTGACCAGATTAAAAATGGCGACAAACTGAATGGTACTGGCTATCGGAAGAAAGCTAGAGACAGATCAGGAATGTAAGACTCTCACTGCTGCAACTCTTCTCCATTGTGGGGCTAGTTTTAAGACCTGGGTGATATAGAACCTATGCATGCTTCAGCGTGTTAAAGGGGAAAATACAAACATATCTAAACCCACAATTTGGAGTCTTTGGTTAGATGTGATAAAGTTGTGCCTACTTGTAAAAGCAGCCCAGAGAATTAAGGTAATTAAACTGAACATTTAAGCTTCCAAAGCCATTTCCCTGCATGTTGTAGGTGAATGTCATTAGAGGGTTTAACCTTCAGTAAATTGCCCCAATTTGTTTCGTTTTGAGTATGTGCTCCCAGGGTTGAATTCAGAAAGTTCTCAGTGTAGGCTCTGTATTTTTCCTCTGGAAGTTCTGCAGAGAAGGGAATGGTTAGTAATAGTCTCTCTATTGGCAAGAAAGCAAACAGCATTTAGAGTGTGTTTTCCTAAAATTAAAACCCTGTAGGGAGGGACCACAAAATTGAGGTGTGTGTTTTTGGAGAATTTGTTGACTTAATCACTCAGAATTATAAGCACTAAAACCATCTGATGGAAACATCCATTTGATAAATATTTATGTGTATTGGTCATTATTAGTAAGCTAATAACTAAGTAATGAAATAATACTAAATAAATAGTCATTTTAAATAAATATGGAGTAAATATATGAATATACAGTAAAACTGTGTTAGGTATTTAGTTTGGCCAATAGGATGCAGCAAAAATATTGATTATTGTCACTAATTAGAATTACTAAAAGAAAAATAGAGAAATTCAAGCAGAGAGCTTTTGCACGCAAAAAGTTACAGTAACATAAAGCAGTTGTAGATGTGAGAAATGTTACGTACCCAGCATGACTTCTGTTGAGCAATCCAATTAAGTAATGATAATTATCATGTAGTTATTCAGATCTGTTAATTTGAACACAACCTCTGCATACATAAAACTAGTGCTCCGCTTTATAAAGCCTGATCATAACCACTCCTTAGGAAATTTCAGGCTCAGTGATAGGGAAACCTGTTCTACATCTTTTACATAATGTTCAGGTATTAATTATATGGACAGAATTCAGATGTTTGTTCAGTTGTACATGTCATGCCATTTCTAAGTAGTGTAGCTATTTTAAAACAGCATAAAAATTGTGGTCATTATCATCTTGTGAATTAGTAATTTTCAGGTTCTTTAGAATCAGGTAGTTTAAATCATGACAAATCATTGTAGTTGGCCATGATCCATCTATGCAAAAAGCAGGAGATATCCTTGATTAAAAGTTTTAAAACATTCTCTACTCATGAGACATGAAAATCAGCTCACTGCTTTTCATGATTTAAAACAGAACAAAACAAGAAGCCAGACATTTCAAGTAAAACAGGTACAAAAGATGGATATAGACATCAGACAAACCAAGGCTCTATTAAGTATTTTTATTAGCCTTTGTGTTATGTTTTGATGTTTCCCTAGTGTGCCAAGCAGTTTTCTACTTCTATTCTTTATGGTGATTTCTTATTGCTCAATCTAGCTCTGAATTAGTGAAAACTTACTAGTCATCCAAGGACCAGTACAAATAATATCTACTCCTCCAGTTCTCAGATAGAGAAAAGTGCTTCCAAATAGCATCTATGCTGACAAATATTCCTGTCCATTAAACACACTGTATCACAGTCAGCCAAATGTTTGTGATACATTGAAAGACAAAAATAGAAAGATAGAGTCTGGTTTATGGTAAGTCATTATGAAATAATGAATGTCTGGAGGAAGGATTTCTTGAAAGAAAACACAAAGAAGTGTTCTTTATTCAAATGCTCACAGTTAACAAATCAAAGCGGGAGAGGTTTTTCCTCCTGGTTGTCTGCTGTGATCAAAGGATACTTTTAAGGTGATGGACCACAAAACAACATAACTTCCATAGCTATTCTCTTGTAGGCATTGGCACAGATCCTGTGATGGAGATACGAAACTAGATATTCTCCAACTCAGAAATGCAGGGAAAATGAAAAGAAACAAAGAACAGAGCAAGGAGAGGCAGGTCAATGCCAGTGTCCGAGAGGACAGTCAACCCCGGCTGAGCATCAAAAAGAACAGCAGGAAGGCAGATGAAGATGAGATTTCAAACAGCTTCAGTCCACTATGGGGACAACTGAATCATTACAGTGCATACACGTTAATCTCACTTACATAATGTAGTCTTCAATTTAGCTGGAGTTGTGACTTGAAAGATTTATTCTAGGTATTTGACATATGTGACAATGAACTTCTGAATTATATATGTGTATGCGCATTTATTACCTATTAATTGATTTTTTTTGAGACAGCGTCTCACTGTGTTTCTCAAGCTGGCATTGAATTTGTGGCACGTCTCTGCTTCAGCTTCCCAAGTGCTGACAAGTGTTGTGCCATCATACACACACACACACACACACACACACACACACAGAAGCAGGGTTGTCTCCCAGTAGTCCGAGTTGGCCTGGAACTCACTAGGTAGGCCAGGCTGGCCTCAATCTCACAGAGATATATTTTTATTAAATGAAAACTTTTGGAGGTAATCTTCATTTACAGAGACTTCAAAAGATATTACAGAATTTTTGTAATAGGAGAGAGTTCATCAGGTTTATCTTCATGATTACTAGTTATATAAAATCAATGTATTCTCAAACTTTATTTCCTAATCTATTCCTCTCGAAAGATAAATAATTGATTTTCACTGACATTTCAAATGATTTTTAAATTTTCAACAATTTTAGTTGAATTTAGTTGACTATTACCTTGTGAAAGTTAAATATTAACCATATTTTCATGGAAATATTTTTACAGATTTTCTGCACATACAAGATGCTTTTCTTTCCTCTCCAGTCTTTATAGCATCTACTTCTTTCTTTTCTTTCTCTCTAGTGTCTAATCTCTATACTTCAATATAAATGAAGAGTAAGCCTAGCTGACTTCTTTATTTCAAAGAAATATTTTCATATCCCACCACTGAAGCACAGTGCACAGTTGCTTTAAAATTGGAAAAAAAAGTTAGGCTGAAGAGAGGGCTCAGCAGTTAGAAGCACTGACTGTTCTTTCAGAGGATCCAGGTTCAGTTCCCAGCACCCACATGGCAGGTAACAACTACCGTGTGGATCCGACGCTCTTTTCTGACCTTCACAGGCATTGTGTGCACATACATGCAGACATAGCACTCATATGCTTAAAATTAAAATAAATAAAATCTTTTGTAAAACTTGAAAAAAAATCCAGAACTATTAAAAGTAGAATGATTACTAAACCATAGTACTTTCTCAAAACTCTTTTTTGAAATAAAA